AGTGCAACTATGATGAGTATTCAATTAGCTGACCGATCTATAGTTCGTCCTAGGGGCATAGTGGAAGACCTTCTGGTTAAGGTTGGCAGATTCTTTTATCTTGTGGATTTTGTTGTCTTGGACATCAATGAAGACACAAAAGTGCCCCTTATACTGGGAAGGCCTTTCCAGGTCACCGCCAAGGATCTCATAGATGTACATGATGGGACCTTAGTCTTGAGGGATGGCGAGGAGAAAATAACATTCTCCATTGCTAATACTCTCCCTGCTTCATTGCCTTTGCATGTTGTTTCTCACCAGGAGCACGAGTCTGTCGTGTATCCCTCTGTGTCTCTCGTTTTGCAGGACTCACCTCTCATATCTTCGCCGCCACTCCCTTCCACCAAAAGAAAAGATCAGGGAGGAGTGGCGGCCGAAACTGCAGGTAGCTAAGCCTGCTGGAAAGGAAGCATGTGACCACTATGAGCTGGTCCTGACTCCTGAGCCTCGACCGCCTTGGCCAACCGAGTATTCACTCGCTTGCATCCTGCTGGATGGCCAGGTCGAGTTGACGAGTGCTGGTGGTCACACCCGTCGTGTGCATGGCCACCATCTGAAGTTGTACCTCAAGAGAGATGTGGATCCGCTCTTGGCTGCACTTGTTCCTGCACCTCTCTGAGCATCCACCCTATTGGCATCCAGCTAAAAGACGGCAAAGAAGCGCTTGTGGGGAGGCAACCCCACCAAGGTTTGTTTTCCTTTCGTTTGTTTTCGGTTTGTCCACTTGGAACTATGGTTTCTATCACCCAGTGTGTTTTGATTACTCTAGCCCTGCTAACTGGTCCCATTTCCCGTCCCCCGACAGTCCGTTTTTCCCGGTAACATCCTTTCCCTTATCTTTCCCTCTGCTCCATTGAGAGCAATGTCGTGCTTAAGTGTGTGGGGGATGTTTATCTATCTTTGACTGTTATATGAGTTTGTGTGCTTGGAGCCTAGTCCACTGTCCAAATTTCGGTTTAAGGGCTCCAAGTACTGTTCCCTGCACTATCCTGCTCAATATGCTTTGAATTGACAGTCTTTATGGTGATATGCAACCTAGGGAGGTAGTGTAGCACTATGGAGGATGTTCATGCATTTAAGAAGTCTCCTTTCTTCTTCATATTGTGTTGATTGATTGTGTGAATTAGTGATCTTAGGACCTTGAATTGTGTGGTATTGTGGACTCTCTACCTATCATGGACTCATGTATCATGTTTTGAAATAAAAGGTGCTAAAAATGTGCTTTAAACTAACGCCTCCCGTGCGAATAAGGCGAAAGTGTGTAAGGGGAGACGGGAATCCGTTCCTAACTTCCACCTACTACCTCCAGCCCCCTTACATTTCTTTCCCCCGCATGAGGCTCGAGACATCCACTCCCGGCATGGCCGGTAAGAGCCGGGCTCCCGCAAAACCTTTTCTAGGTGGGAGCCCCCGTTTTCTGAAAAGCAGGTTGGAACACTTGAAAAGAAAAAAAAAAGAGAAAAAAGAGAGAAAAACAAGGAAAAGAAAAAGAAAAAGGGGTTCCAACCATCTTCAAAAAGAAAATAGAGCACCTTAAAAATGTAAGTCCATGATCTTTTGTTTTTGAGAGTCCCTTTGTCCACGATTCATTTGTCCTCCAATCACTATTTGCCATGATGCCGACTCAAGACTAGCGGTCTCGCCGAAGAAGCTAGGAGATGACTTGTGCGTCGGTTGACCTCGTAAGCTGCTAAATGATCTACGACATCCTCTACCGACGATCGGGGGTGCATATTGTTATAGAGGTATGGAGAGCTGCATTGGTTTGAGTTAGGTTTTCTTGGGGACAAGCAAACGGTTAAGTGTAGGGGAATTTGATGACTTGATATATACACATGTTTGTGTCCACCATTCTTATACTGTTTGAGTCTTATTTCTCGTGTTTTAGGCTGATTTCACGCTAGGTTGTTCTTCTTTGTGATATTTCAGGTCCTAGTACGTGAATAAGGTTTGGGAACGAGTTCGGGGTGGATTGGACGAAGATTGGAAGTTTGGCGAGAAGCTGAGGAACCCACACGAGCACGGCTAAAATTCCACACGGCCGTGTGGCACCACTTTGCATGGTCAAATCACACTGGCCTTGTAATGGACCCCTTGTGGCCGTGTGGGATGTCCAGAGAGTTCACACGGGCAGACCTAAATTCCACACGGCCGTGTGGTTTTGGCCGTGTAGCGTACCTGGAGTCACTTAATCAAAACGCGGTGTTTTGAGAGCTACATAGGCAGCTGGAATTTCCACACGGTCGTGTGGTCGGGCAGAGTTGGGTTTTTAACCCAATTTCGGGTCTTTGAAGAGGGAGATCGATTTTCAGAGCAAAAACAGAACCCTAGAGAGAGAAAGTGCGAAAAACACCCTCTAAGAGTGGTTTTGGAGCTAGGTTTCATCAATCAAGTTTGGAAATCATCCTTGGAGTGAAGATCATCAACCCAGAGCAGATTCTTCCCATCTTGATGAATATACTGCTTTGTTAATAGTTTCCCTCTCTCTCTATGGAGTAGAACCCTCTCTCACTTGGGTATGAAGAACCCTAGTTCTATGTGTTAGGGATCATTGTTGTAACGACGTTTGGATTGTGATATTGTTTGATTATAATCGATTGAAGTGTTTTGATTGAGTCAATTGAAGCCTGGTCATCTTTTATTGATTTATGCTGCAACCAGAGATAGATAGAATCTGATTAGGTTGTTAGAGCTTTTTCAATCGGTAGTAGTGAATCGATTATACGAGAGTTAGTCGATTCACTGCTTTGTATTGGAATCCAATTACAGTAGTGGAGTTCTGTGCTTATAGCCTCATCTTTCTATCCCGGTGAAGACTAGTCGTCTACCGGGTAGTTTGACAGAGAGGGCTTGGTCAGCTTAAGAGATTCCAAGCTACTGTCGGATCTTCCGCAGTATAATCAACAGTAAATCGACCAAAGGTAATTACAACTTTGACTTAACTAAGGAGCTAAGGGACTCATTCCCGAGTGACTTTTCCCTTGCTAAAGAACTTCGAACCGTTTACTGCTTTCTTACTGCTTATTCTTTAACTCACAATCACTCGACTTAGTTTGCTAGATAATAGATAAACACGGAGTAGGCGGTAGATTAGACCCCGGGTTGATAATTAGAACTTGCCACTATTCTGCATTTCCGGACTACGATTACACTTGGTCGCAATTTGGTATTGTGTTTTAGCGTGTTACTAGATATTAATATAAAATATTGATAACTTTCCACGACCCAAAAAATGGGCAAGAAATTTTGTCAATAAAAACATATCAGAGACGACTTAATAAGCAGACCCGTTCCACTTTCCACTCGCTATGCACATCTTGTGATTCGCGATTATTGAGATTCATTTTGTTAGTTCTAAGCGAAAGGAAAGGAAATTAAAGGGTTTGTTTGGATGAGGAATTGTAACGGATCAATTTGACATAATTGTCTTGTTTTGAGATAATTGTATTAAATTGCCTCGTTTGCCAGCAAAAAAATTGGATGGATCAATCCGCCTGAGGTATTTTGAATTGATCCGTTTTGAGTCAATTTCAATTATCTGGGGTGGGGGTAGGTAATTCGAATTCACTCGTTTTAATTGCCTCATTTATAAAACGAGACAATTGATCAAATTTACTCATTTCTAGATTGATCCATCCAAACGACCCAAAGAGAAGACGATGACAATTTGGGATCACAATTCGAAACTGTTCCATTGGATATTTTTTAGATTTGATCTGTATTGGGGTGAGTATTACCCGATTACAATATAATAGGACCGGGCATGAATAAATACTGCTTTTCATTGCCCCACATAGTCTTGTCTCATTTTTTTCCGTCTTATCTCGATTTGCTTCAATATCTATTTATATTTTTCTTAAATTCTTATTTTAGTTTTTTCAATTATATTTTTATCCAATAAAATTTTAAACAGGGGGCAAGACTTTATCTTTCAACTGATGCGTAATTACTCTTTTTTATCTCTATTTTTCGTTCATGAATTGCTTTCCCTTAATTTAATCATAAAAAACAAATTTAAACTTGTGTGTTTATTTTCTTTCGATAACTTTTAATTACAAGATCGATATAGATATTGAGATACCCGTCACCATCACTATTGTCATCAAATATATAGTGGGAAGACCACTAATTAGTTTCAAGTTTTAACCCTTCAAGACTTGGAGCACTTCTACTATGCTATATAGTATTGGTGCTTTAATGTACAACTTAAAGTTGTACCATAACATTAAATGTATAAGTTTAGGTTGTACCATAAAGCTATTTGTATCATTATGTTATTGTACAACTTTACAACTTGAAGTTGTACCATCACATAAAGGTACAAGTTCAAGTTGTACCATAAAAGAATTTGTACAAAAAGTATAAGTACAATATGAAGTTGTACCATAACGTAAATGTACAATTTTAAGTTATATCATAAAAACAAAAACTTATAGCACCAATACTATATAGTATTGTAAAATTTCTCCAAGACTTGACCGTTGATATAAGTGCAATAATATATTGGGCTAATACCACTAGGAAATCCTAATTATTAACTTTGTGTCATTTGTGTCCTAAAGTATTCGATATGACATTTGTGTCATGACGTATCGTTGTTGTGTGTCATTTATGTCCTAGCAATTTTGTTGACCGTTAAAGATAACGGTTGACCTAACGGTCATCAGTGAAATGTTGACTGTTGGTTACGTGGCACATATGTAGCGGCCACGTCAGCTGTCACATCATATTATTTATGAAAAAAATTCAAAAAAAAGTAAAAAAAATTTCTTAACAAAAATCTTCTTCCCCAGCACTTCCACCATCCTCCGCCGAATCCGACCTTTCGAATCCCAACGTTGAATCCGGACGTCGGCGCTGAAGGAATCCCCTGCGACTTTGAGCTCAATAGGAGGACCCACTTTGCTCGTTTGCCCAAAATTCACATCTCCAGACCCATCTCCCGTTCCCAGCCCACCACCATGAACATCCTCAACAAGCTCGGGTTCGGCGTTTGGTCCCCCGACCCGTCTGCCATGGACCCGACGATTCCCCAGAGCCCCGACGACGATTCCCCCGCCCCCGGCCAGCAGTTCGCCCAATTCGGAGCTGGGTGCTTCTGGGAAGTCGAATTGGTGTTTCAGAGGGTTTTCGGCGTTACAAAGGCGGAGGTCGGGTATACTCAGGGTCTCCTCCACCATCCTACCAACGAGGACATCTGCACCGGTACTACAAGCCACTCTGAGGTGGTTAGGGTTCAGTTTGATCCTAAGGAGTGTAGCTACGACGCTCTGCTCGATGTTTTCTGGGCTCGACACGACCCTACTACCATGAATCGCCAGGGTTGTTTGTATGATTGTATCTTTTCGTTTCTTGGCTACATGTGAATGATTGGGGTTGGATTGTTAGATGGTTCGCAGTTCTTGGGGCTCGTTTGCAGAACTGGGCGATGTCTGTTTTTCTTGTTTTTGGTTGCTGTATGTGATCTATGTTAGTGAAAGCTTGTGAGTCCTGGAGGAAAATTGCTGAGGAAGGAGAAAGGGGAGAGGTTGGAAGCGGAGAAGGGGGCCGTGAGAGGTGTGATTTTTTCATTTTTTATTTTGTAATTTATAATTTATAATTTTTTATTAGATGGAAAAGTAAATAAAAATTAATATTAAAATTCCATGTCAGATGCCACATAAACGCTGACTAGACTTTCTGTTAAAAACTAACGGTCAACGCTAGTCAACTCTAACGGAAAAATAGTTTAGGACACAAATGTCATATCGAATACTTTAGGACACAAATGACACAAAGTTAATAGTTCGGGTTTCCTAATGGTATTAGCCCTAATATATTCTACCTTTCCCATAACCCGCTATATATATATATATGGAGGCCCAAAGTGAACTTGGATTCCCAAGATCCAAAAGATCATAATTCGACGGGAGAAAAACCCATATAGCCGAAATGAGGAGCTCAAGAAAAACAGAACACCGTCGTCTCATCATCAGCAGCTGGTTCTCCCCAGCTGCATTCGCGTTAGCGACGGTGTTTGTTGTGGCGGCGGAGTGGAAGAGCTGCGACGGTTGCTTGGATACCGAAAAAATTGCTCTTCTCCAGATCGGCGCTTTCTTCCCTCTCCAAATCCCAAGCGGATCATTTATTGAAGGCGACGGCGGGTTCGTTCAGCCGCAGCAGCAACTCGGCCGTAATTGCTGCGACTGGGAAGTGGTTGCTTGCATTTCCACGACAGGGAGGGTGATTGCGCTTCATCTGCTCGATCCCCGACCAGGAGGACGATCTCGTTACCCGAATGCTTCTCTGTTCTTGCCGCTCCAAGAACTGGCCGACCTTTCATTGTCGAGCAATCAATTGGCTGGTTGCCTTGAGAACGAAGGTATATAATATATAACCTTCTGTGCATTGTTGGGACCGATTGATTGTTTGATATGGCATCGAAATGTTATGTGTATCCGAGAGGTCTTCTGTTTGAATCCCGACCGATGACACTCCATATGTTCTGTCAAGCATATGGTATCCAGATCTGTGCAAAACTTCACAATAAATTGAGCGTGACAACTGATACTTGACAATTTATTCATTTATTATTAAGTATATTTACGACGAGGAACTTTACTGTGCTTTATAACATTGGTGTTTTGGTTTTAATAAGAATTTGGTACAAACTGAAATTTGTACATTTAACATTATGATAAAAATTTAGTCAGTACATATATCGCTATGTACAAATTTATTTGTAGTACGTAACAAACTGAACTTGTACCTTTAAGGTTATGGTACAAATTTCGCTTTGTACCTATACATTTGTGTACAAATTATTTTTATGGTACAAACTGGATTTGTACATTTATGTTATGGTGCAAACTCAACATATACCATAGCATAAAGTTACAAATTCCATTATGCTATTGTACATCAGCGTTATGGTATAAGTTCAATTTGTATATCAAAACACCAATTCTTTAGAGCATATCTAGTATAAGGAGTCTATCTATGACTTCTGCATGTCATATGTATATAGTGAATCTTTGTTTATTGATTTCGCAGGATTCGAGAAGTTAGCCAAACTCGTTCATTTAAAAGCTTTGGATTTAAGTCGCAACGAATTAAGTAACGACGTGTTGCCATCTTTGAGCAGAATTTCGTCGTTGACTGAGCTGAACCTTGAGAAAAATAGGCTAAAAGGAGTCATTGACATTGATGGTATAATTTTTTTTAAGGGTACATTTAAAACAGAGAAGCATTCCCATATTAAACACATTTAAAACCCATATAACATATTTAATATTAATTGGTGAATTAAATAGATAATTTAAATATTATATCTACATTTTTTTATTTTTAGAAGAACTTATTTCATATATTTATTGTTATTTACGTACTAGTAAACTGTTCCATACTCATACCATATTTTACTTACTATGTTAATTAGTAGGTCGGGAATTCCGTTCAATTCGGGAGACCAATTTGGTAACTACTTTCCCCCCGATTCTTCTTCTGATTATCAAGGGATTTTGAATGACAACTAAGACTGTAATCATGGGCATGCGCCCAACTCGAACAGGCTCGATCAAATAGAATAATAGAAGAAATTCTTAGGTGCTCCGGGAGCACCACGTTGGAATGCTGATGTGGTGCCCGACCAATGAAATTGTGCCACATGGCCTTAATTAAATAAAACATTATTTATAATCTCAAAGAGGAAACCCTCTTATTCCCCACCCCCTCCCCCTCGAGTGAGAAAATTATTATGCCATTGCCAACTGCCTGCTAGTATCCACGACTCCGCACCATCAATTTCAAATGAAAAAAAGATCTTACTTCACCTCCATTGTTCCGGCGACTTACTTCAAGGAGCTTTTCCAATTCCTAATGACATATATTAATCCACCCCTAGAAATCAAGATTCAAGTCTCATAATCTTATTTCGTGGAATCTGGTATCAATAGACGATTCTGAAGACGAATATGAGATTCTTAATAGATAAAGATTTAGACGTTGACGATTGACGAAGATCTCAACTCCGATAATGGAGAACATGATCAAACCAGATGGAGCAGCAACAACTTACACAATCAATGACTTGAAGAACAAGAAGCTACTGCTGTGAACGAAGGAAGTCGACAAAGCAGATCATTGATGTGAATATGAGAATGAAACGGTGGCGCTCTGTCTTCAACTAAAGGTGAGGTCAGAACGTCACCGTTTCCCTTGATCTGTTCTCTATGAAGAAAGGAACGTCGAAGTTTAGCCACTGAAGACTTCAAACAGTGTAATTAGTTTATCAATGACGGGTGGCTAGCTAAGACTGGATAGTTTAATTAGTTTGTTAAACTTTACTGTTTATTAGTCGTTGTTTAGTTTGCCTAATGTAGCTCTGTACATATATAAATGAGAAAGCCAGAAAAGAACTCAAGACTTTTGAGCTCTCTTCACCAAAACTCTAGCATATCTATTTTCTTCTTATGGTATCAGAGCCTAGTTACCCATAACCAGGGCTCTTTTTTCTTCCATTTTGCTAGCGTTATCACCTAGCTTTCTTCAATCTTTACAATGTATGGTCAAGAGGAGATCAAGGAGATGAGACGACTTCAGAGAACAACAACAACAATACCCAATAGGGTGCCGAGATATGAAGATTCATGCCTCAATTCTTACTATCTTTTAGCACATGATGGAGGACTGACCACCATCATCACAATGAAGCTCACAGATCAAAATTACAACCTATGGAGTCAGGTAATGGGACTGGCTCTCAATACCAAGAACAAACTGCAATTCGAGAATGGGATGATACCAGTTCCTAAAGTAGGGGATCCCATTTGGCCATCTTGGCATAGGTGTGACAAGACAGTTAGATGTTGGATTTACAATTCTCTTTCAGATGATATAGCAAACAGTGTAGTGCCTTATAAAGTAGCTAAGGATGTATGGGATAATCTTAAGTAAAGGTTTAGTCAAGCTGATTTTATCGGGGTATATGACCTAAAGGAACATATCTCTAAGCTTGTGCAAGGAGACCTGAGTGTGACTTATTATTATACTGGCTTAACCACAAAATGGCAAGATTATTATATGCATAGACCCATAGCTTTTTGTCATTGTCCAAACAACCCATACTATGAAATTCAAAAGTACAATGAAGAGGATTTGATCATTAAGTTCATACAAGGGCTTAATGATTCATACCAGGCAGCAAGAACACAAGTTCTCATGAATGCACAGCTCCTTAGCATTGAGTCTGTGTTCAAGCAGATGGTACAACTTGAGAAACAGATGAAGGGTTGAATCTTGGCAGAGGAAGAGTGGAATCCATGCCTAGAAGTCAAGGAGCTAGAAATCCAAGGGATTACACAACCAAGGGGAAGAACTGGTGTAGGTACAGTAAAAAGGAGAACCACACTATTCAAGAGTGTTATAGGCTGAAAAATAAGCACTCTAGGGAAGAAGGTACCCCTTTGCTGGTTCTGTGGACAGTCACTTGAGTGATACAGGAGGATCCAACTTGAGTTCAGGAGGGAGATCTGAGGGAGAAGTGAGCCTTACCAATCTTTTGACAGCAGACCAACTTGACAAGTTAAGAACTATGCTGATGAAGTCACATTCTCCTTCACCCTCTCCACCTAGTTCACCACATGTACAACACAATGCTGCAGTGGTAATGAGGTCTCCTTCTGTGAATCAGCCTACTACTAATTTGGTCACTAGATCATCACCTCATGTTCCACACTTTGCTGCAAGTTCTTCAGGTAACATCATCTCACCTACTAATTCTCATTTCCTTCTTAAGAAGGTTTGGATTTTGGATACTGGTGCTACAGACCACATAACCTGTGATCAGAGTTTCTTCGTTAAGAGTAAACCTGTTGACAAGGTTTTCATTAGCCTGCCAAATGGGCAGAAGGTTCAAGCAACACACATTGTGATAATCACTTTGCCTTGTTGACTGTTTCTCACTCAAGTTCTTTTCATTCCTTCCTTTACTTACAATTTGGTTTCTGTAAGTAAGCTAACCACCAATCATCCAGTCTCCTTAGTTTTTAAATCAAATTTCAGTGTCATCCAGGACCTTATTACTCGGAGGAGGATTGGTTTAGCCCAAGTGGATAGAGGCCTTTACCTGTTTTCAGAGTCCAAAAATCAGGAGTTTGCTTCCCATAAAGACCAACGGAGTTTTGCATCAGGATTTTTCAATTTTCACAGTCAGGATTTCAATATATGGCTGCCATATTAGGACACCCTTCTTTGTATAGAATGAAAGAAATTAAACAGACTTGTAATGACATTGTTTTGCCTACAACTAGGGGTGTAAGTTCGGGTCGGGTTCGGTTACCCGAACCGAAACTAGAAAAAACCCAAAACCGAAAATTACTGAAACCGAACCCGAACTCGATAAGGACGCGGGTTTCGGTTACCCAAAACCCGAATATTCCTTATCGGGTTCGGGTTCGGTTAAAGCAAAACTGAAGCCCGTAAACCCGAACGCCTAAGAATACATACTGAGTTCTATTCATTGGAGGTTTTTAGCCAGAACTTGAAAAACCGATAAGCAAAACCGAACCTGAAATCGAAAAAACCGAAACCCAAAATGAAACCGAACCCGAAAAACCAAAAATGTATATAATCGGGTCGGTTTCGGGTAAACCCGAAAAACCAAACCTGAATGGACACCCCTACCTACAACACAACTTTGTAAAGTTTGTCATTTGGCTAAACAAAAGAGGCTTCCTTTGCCTCTTTGCACTTCTGTTTCTTCTCAAATATTTGAACTCATCCACACAGATATTTGGGGGCCACTTAATTCCATTTCTAGAGATGGTTTTCTTACTTTCTCACTGTAGTATATGACTACAGTAGAGTTGTGTGGGTTTTCCTCTTGAAATCAAAGGCAGAGGCCAGACCACTTTTACAATCCTTTTGCACCATGGTGCATACACAGTTTAATGTTCCCATAAAAACCATTCGTTCAGATCAGGGTAACGAGTTTCACATGCCAGAGTTCTATAGTTCTCATGGCATTGTACATGAGATGAGTTGTGTTTACACAGCACAACAAAATGGTAGGGTAGAACGAAAACACCAACACCTTTTGAATGTAACCAAATCCCTTAAACTTCAATCTGGTTTACCCTTGACTTGCTGGAGTGATTTTGTTCTCCATGTTGCCTACCTTATAAACAGAACACCCACTCCTGTCCTGAATCACAAAACATCTTTTGAAATGTTACACAAAGTGCCCACAGATTACATGAGTTTAAAGTTTTTTGGTTGTTTGGCTTATGCCATAGTGGTTGAAGCTCACAAACACAAGTTTGATCCTAGAGCTAATCAGTGCGTCTTTCTGGGATGGCATGCTGGCATAAAAGGTTTTAAACTCTTGGAAATCAATATAAAGAGATTTTTTGTAAATAGGGATGTTATCTTCTATGAAGATATCCTGCCTTACAAGTATCCTAATTCACTCCCAGAATCCAGAACAGCAGAGACTTTTCTCAATCTCTCACCTGTTCCCATGTCTTCTTCATGTCTAGAGGATTCAATTCGTTCTAAACCTCTTCCTTTTGTTGAGCCTGAGCTAGCAGGGTTTTCTCCTTCACCTGCTACACCAACCCCCCTTTCTCCATCTACACCAATTCCCTCTCCTGCTGCATCACCTTCCAGGTATGCTACAAGGTCTCCATCACATAACTTTATCCCTCAATCTCCTCACCATTCTTCTCCACTAGTAGAGCCACCTAGGAAGTCCACCAGGCAAAGTTTGTTTCCAAGGAAATATGATGATTTCTATGTTGGTAGCTTGCAAGTCAGTGGCTCTCCCAAGCCAATACCTGTTGATTTGCTGCATCTCACTCCTCACCAGCAGCGTTTCGCACTCACCATTGTTGTTGTTGTTGAGCCAACCTCCTATGCTGAGGCAGTCCTTGATCCTTGATGGAATGCAGCCATGACAGATGAGATTAAAGCCCTCTATGAGAACAACACTTGGGAGATCACTGACTTACCCGAGGGAGTGAAGTCAATTGGTAACAAATGGGTGTACAAAGTCAAATCCTTGCCAAATGGAACCATTGAGAGGTTCAAAGAGTTGTGGGAAAAGGGTACACTCAAATATATGGAATAGACTATTGTGACACTTTCTCTCCAGTAGCTAAACTCACCTTTGTCAAAATGCTACTAGCAATTGCCTCCATTCAGAATTGGCATATACACCAAATGGATGTCAATAATGCTTTTCTTGATGGTGATTTGGAAGAAGTTGTTTATATGGAACTACCTGAAGGTTTAAGGGAAAGGCCAGAATACAAAGGGAAGGTTTGTAAGCTTAAGAAGTCACTTTATGGTTTGAAGCAAGCAAGCAAAATGTGGTATGCCAAGCTAACATAATCCTTTCTTGCCAGTGGCTTCAAACAGTCTAAGGCAGATTACTCAATCTTCCTTACCGAGATTGCATGAAACCTTGTATTTGTGATTGTTTATGTGGATGATATACTTGTTGGGAGTCCAAGTCTCGAGGCAGTTAAGTTAATACAGTGAAACAGTTGTTAGTTTCATTATTCAAAATGAAGGATTTGGGGGAGATAAAATATTTTCTTGGATTAGAAGTAAACAGAACAGCAGCTGGAATTCATGTTTCGCAGAGGAAATACTACATTGAATTGTTGGAAGAGGCAGGCTTTGATGAGTGCAAGCCAGCAAAGACCCCTTCCAGTGTAAAACAAGTACTCTCAGCAGATGATGGTGAACCATACTTGAACATCAACAAATTTAAACATCTACTTGGGCAATTGCGTATCTTAATAGCACAAGGCCAGATATCACATTTGTAGTTCAACAATTATGCCAATTCCAAGATTCTCCTACAACTGTGCATATTAAGGCATTACACAGAGTTTTCAGGTACCTAAGGAACTCACCAGGACAAGGTGTGTTCTATTCTAGCAAGGCAGCCATCCAGCTAACAAGATACAGTGACTCAGATTGGGCCACTTGTCCTAACTCTAAGAGATCTCTAACAGGTTTCTGTGTCTGCCTGGGAACTAGTTTGATAAGTTGGAAGGCCAAGAAACAAAGTACAGTATCTAGATCATCCTCAGAAGCTGAATACAGGGCATTGTCGCTCCTAAGCTTTGAAATACAATGGCTGGTATGGTTGCTTTCAGATTCTGGGATTGATCATTCACATTCAGCCATTGTTTTCTGTGACAGTCAGTCTGCTATACACATTGCACAGAATCCAGCGTTCCACGAACGAACCAAACATATAGAGGTTGATTGTCACGTGATCATGGAGCATTTACAAAGTGGTTTGATTGCTTTACATCACGTTTCTAGAAATCATCAGTTGGCAGATATTTTTACCAAGAGATTAGGCATTGACAGATTCAACTTTCTCATGAGCAAGCTGGGAGTATCAGGACGACACTCGCCACCTTGTGGGGGCGTGATAGAGAACATGATCAAACTTGATGGAGCAGTTGCAGCTTGCACAATCAATGACCTGAAGAACAAGAAGATGCTGTTGTGAACAAAGAAAGTCGACAAAGCATATCATTGATGTGAATATGAGAATGAAACGGTGGCGACCTGTCTTCTGATAAAGGTGAGTTCAGAACGTCACTGTTTCCCTTGATCTGTTCGCTATGAAGAAAGGAATGTCCATGTTTAGCCATTGAAGACTTCAAATAGTGTAATTAGTTGCTCAATGATGCGTGGCTAGCTAAGACTAGATAGTTTAATTAGTTTTTTAAACTTTACTGTTTATTAGCCGTTGTTTAATTTTCCTAATGTTGCTCTGTGCATATACAAATGAGAAAGCCAGAAAAGAAGAAGTCAAGACTTTTGAGCTCTCTTCACCAAAATCCTAGCATATCTATTTTTTTCTTAGCCGATGGAAGTTCCGCAACCAGGAAGATGATAATGATTATTCCTTCTTCTGGTTCACTTTTTCTTCCAACGGTTTCTTTCCTTTTTCCAATTTCATAGAGATAGGGAGGTGCACTGGTAGATTGACGGTAGTCATTCGGCTTGGAGAATTCCATGGATGATTAAAGGAGAAAGAAAATAATCTAAAGTAAATCACTCACAGAAACATAAGCTACCATTTTATTTTATTAATTGCGGCCACGTGGCACAACTTCATTGGCCGGGAGTACCACATAAGCATTCCAACGTGGTGCTCCCGAAGCACCTAAGAATTTCTCGAAAAGTAAACAGTCTGGACTAGTTAAGGTTTTGTTGCTTTATCTGGAAAGAAAGATTAGAGAATTTCCCGAGACTTCAGCTTTTCTCCTTCTTATTTGTATTACATATATGGTCAACATATATGTAATTAGTTATTACATTGTTTATTAGAACTCCATATATAATCTAAATTATTTTTTTCCCTCTCTAACATTTATAAGCACAAAAGCATTGTCGAGGAACACCAGGAGCAGTGCCGAGGTCACACAATCCTTGTCCACCGTAACGACTCTTGCATTCGTTGAAACATTGATCCCCTCCGCGACTACAGTCCCATAGAGCTGAGCAGTCTTTAGCTTCCACTGTCATCTTTGCTCCACCTTTTTCATTGGTATGCATATAAAATTAATTAATTGTACATAAAGAAAGAAAGAAATCAGTATATGGATTCACATAACTAATCCACAACAAAATTATGAAATTAATTGGAGTGCGTAGGAAAGAGAGGAACAAAAACAGAATATCACAATGAACTTCACGTGATAATTTTCAAGAAGATTTTACCTAAGGAGGCGAAGAACAGAAGGGCTAGCAAGAAGTATATTGTGGAAGACTTAGCCATGTTTCTCTTGAAATCGATAGAAAAAGAAGAAGTAATCTTATATTCAGGTTGTCTTTTCATAGGTTTGATAGTCTTGGTATTTGGATTCACTATTTATAAGAAGAATTTGTTTGATGATAAAATGCCTCAATGAAAATATTAGCATGTAAGGAGAAATAACTTGCCCTTTCAATTTTTTTTAACAGATAAAAAAACCTTAAACGGTCAATGCATATCTATCCTTAAATGAAATCACATCTTAGTTGTGGTTGGTAAGGAAACATAGATAGAAATGTACAATACATATCGATCTGGATATATATGTAATTTTATATCGAAATGCAAACGGATATGAATATACACCCGGATTGATAATTTGTGGATGGTTACCGGGCATGTAGGATACAAGTTTGAGAAAAACCATAAAGTCCTTACACCATGAGGAAAAACAAAACCAAAACTAAATCTTAGATTTCTTAATAATTTTTATTTTCACTATATATACATTCCTTTATTTTTTAGGACACAAAATAAACACTAGCATTGAATAAGTGTATGATTAAAATCTCGAAAAAACTTTAAAGCCCATGCACTATCTATGGAAGAAAAACCAAATAAAACATACGAACTAGTCTGTTAATATTATGAGAAATCGGGGTTAATTTGGTTGGGGTATCTTTCTTGCAATCCAGAACTTGCATTTTAGGAAACTGCTTGTAATTTACTAATTTACCTTAGGAATTGTGACATGGCAAAGTAACCCGGTAATTGGTTAGTTGAGCTGAGTAATAATTCAAAATTCCTTGTATTCCTATCCTAGGGAGAAACTCGATTGCTATATATTTTCCTTTTTGTAGGGCGTTCAAGATTAAGGTGTGTTTGAATAGAATGATTTGAATTTAGTATTTTTTATTTGGATTTCTAAATGTCAAATAATGTGTTTGGATATTAATTACAGTTGGTATTTGGATTTGTGCCAAATTCTGGGGTGATTTCCAAATACATGTCTAGTGTATTACTTGCCAACTTCAAATACATTTCAACAACTAGTGATTTAAAATACCTCCAAACAAAAAATTGGACCTATTTGTAAAATATTAAAAGTTTAGGTACTATAGTGTGACGCAAAACATATAAAGGTACCATCAAAATTTCTAGTCCTTTTTGTAAAATTTTAAAAGTTTAGGAACTAAATTGTAAGTAAAAATAAATTTGTGTACCTAATTGTAATTTACCAAAATTTGTAGTAAGTGACCAAAAAGTTCAAAATTAAAATAAAAGATCTTGAAATTTAAAATACAAACAAAATACAAATGAGTGTCCAAACAACGAATTTGAATTATATGTATTTCAAATACTAGTATTTCAAATGCATGCATTTTAAAAACAAAAGTTTCAAATACCTTACATTTGAAATAAACCTATCCAAACGCACCCAACACAATTGTAATCGAAGGATTTAAATCTCGACATGCTGACTACTCACCTCAATACCTGTGTCCGATAGGAGTACTGCCACTGTTCTAGATTGAAACACGCTTGTAGCCCACATCCCATGCTATCTCCAGGCCTCTTATGACAATCTATAGTTTCGTGCGAGTGATCATACACTTTTTTCAAATTCATTGTGTAAACCTAGCTTGTCATGATTGTTTTCTGCAGATCGAGAAATATGAGGATTTGACAAAGCAAGAAAACAAAAGCAAGAACAAACACACGACACACGATTTAAGTGATTCACTAACACAATATGTGTTAGCTAGTCCACGGGCAGGAGAGAGCAAGTTACACTATAGTTTGAGAAGATACATAGTACAGAGGAGTATGAGAAGTATTCATAGTACTTCTCCATGGTCTAACCCTAATCCAATATGGTAAAGGAAAAGCGGTTACATGCAACCAGCACTACAATATAAATTGCCTTTTGTGACGGAACTGAATGGTCACTAAATTTCAATATTTGGCCGTAAAAGAAATGTTGTGACCAAATATTTTGATTTGCCCAATTAGGAAAATGACTCGACTCTACTGTCACTCCAGGAATTGGCCAAGTGTAACCACTTCCTAAAGCGTAGTATAGCGGGTTTAGGTTTAATTATCAACCCGGGTCCTAGATTTGCTGACTACTCAGTGAGTTCTTGTTATCTAGCAATAAAACTGGAGTGCAAGTCTAAACTACCAAACAAACAAAGCAAGTAAACTGGTTGTATTCAGGTTAAGAGAGGTCACCCGGATATGGTTCCCCCTAGACTGCAGTTAAGCCGGATTGTAATTACCAAGTTCAGTTTCTATGACAGTTATACTGCGGAAGGTTCTTAAACAGCCTGAAGTCTCGACTAAAGGTCTTCAGACCCTCTCAATCTGACTCTCTAGCGGGCGACTAACCTCCACCGGAGTCGACAGATTGAGGCCCTAAGAACAAAACCTCCACTACCGGAGTAAATCCGGTACAGAATAGTGAGTTGGTTCCTCGACTAAAGTCACCAACTCCCTACCTTCAATCAAGGATACTCTATTAACCTAGGCAGATATTCTCATTCTAGGTTAAAGCAGAAACAACAGGAATTTGATCAGGATTCAAGTCATTCAATCATTAAAACCTCAATCGAATATAATCAATCACAGAATCAGTACTTGGGTTCATACAATCAAAGCCTAACATACAAATCTAGGGTTCTCCATACCCAGATGAATGGGAGAACTACTCCATAGAGAAGAAAGCAAAAGCAGAATCAGACACGGAATTCATACTGCGAAGGATGGATTCCTGCTTCTGGACGTTGATTGGCACTTCTCCAAGCTTAAGCTGGCCTCCAATGGTGTTGAAGATCAATCTAGGGCACTTGGGAACTCTTGCTCGTCACTTTCTCTCTCTAGGAACTGATCTCTCTCTCAAAAACTCGAATCCCCCCGACTTTGGTTCGGAATTTGGCTTAAAACCAGGAAATCCCGACTCGCACGGCCAGGGTGCACGGTCGTGCATATCACCATTCTGGCCGTGCAACTCAAAACGCAGCGTGTCATTTAGTCGAACTTCAGCCCTCTCGCACGGCCAGGGTGCACGGCCGTGCGAGCTTCAGGGGTTGCCCGTGCGTGTCCTCGGCATAAGGCGCACGGCCAAATTGCTCACGTGCACGGCCGTGCAGCCTCCCTGGTCTGCCCGTGCAGCTCCCCAAAAACCTCGCCATTCGTCCGTTCTTCGTCCAATCGACCCCAGACTCGCTCCTAAGCCTTCATTCACGTACTAGGACCTGAAACATCACAAACAAGCACAACCTAGCGTGAAATCGGCCTAAAACACGAGAAATCACATCTCAAACGGTGTAAGAACAGGGGTAAAAACATGTGTAATTAACGGTCTATCAAACTCCCCCACACTTAACCGTTTGCTTGTCCCCAAGCAAACCTAACTCAAACCAATGCAACTCTCCAGACCTCTATAGCAACAAACAACCCAGATCGTAGGTAGAGGACTTCCTAGATCATTTAGCAGCTTACAAGGTCAACCGACGCACAAGTCATCTCATAACTTCTTCGGCGAGTCGGCATCATGGCAAATAGTGAACAGAGGACAAATGAATTGTGGATGAGGAGATTCTCAAAAACAACAGATCATGGACTCACATTTTTCAAGGTGCTCTATTTTCTGCTTCTTGAAGATGGTTGAGACCCCTTTTTTTTCCTGTTTTGCTTGTTTTCTGATATTTTTCTTTTCTTTTCTTTTTCAAGGGTCCCAACCTGCTCTTACCGGCCATGCCAGGAGCGGATGTCTCGAGCCTCGTGCGGGGGAAAGACATGTAAGGGGGCTGGAGGTAGTAGGTGGAAATTGGGAACGAATTCCCGTCTCCCCTTACACACTTTCGCCCTATTCGCACGGGAGACGTTTATTTTGAAGCACATTTTCGAGCACCTGTTAAACTCAAAACATGATACAAGAGTCCATGACAGGCAGAGAATCCACAACACCACACAATTTAAGGGTCCTAAGATCACTAATTCACTCAATCAACCAACACAATATGAAGAAGAAATGAGACTCCTTAAATGCATCAACATCCTCCATAGTGCTACACTACCTCCCTAGGTTGCATATCACTATAAAGACTGTCAATTCAAAGCATACTGAGCAGGCAATTGCAAGGAAACACGTACTTGGAGCCCTCAAATTTTAAAAATTTGGACAGTGGACTAGGCTCCAAGCACACAAACAGATCTAATGCAGTCGAAAGATAAACATCCCCCCACACTTAAGCTCGACATTGCCCTCAATGGAGAAGAGGGAAGGATAAGGGGAACGATGTTACCGGTATGCACGGACTGCAGGGGACTGGAAACGGGCCAGTCGGGGCAAGCACAGCCAAAGGGGAACAGAAGAGCTCAAACACAGTATGTTAGGTTCAATGGTCAGCCCAATAAAATATCCTCCAAACCAAAAGAAAACAAACCAAACCCAAACCGGGTTACAATCCGACTCAAAACACAAGAAAGAAAATCAAACCGTGGTGGGGTTGCCTCCCCACAAGCGCTTCTTTACCGTCTTTTAGCTGGACGCCAATTGCGGAACTAAGGGTCCGCGAGCTCCACTGCTAACTCCGCACGTTCGACCTCGTCTCCCAGGTAGAGCTTGAGACGATGGCCATTCACTTTAAACGGCTCAGTTTGCGGGTTAGCAACCTCGATCGTGCCATACGGGAACACCTGCGTGACCGTGTACGGTCCAGACCACCGGGAACGGAGTTTTCCAGGAAAGAGTTTCAGGCGAGAGTTATAAAGGAGAACTCGATCACCAACCTGGAACTCTTTCGGACCCCGCAACCGTGCATCGTGGAGGCGCTTCGTGCGCTCCTTGTACAGCTTGGTGTTCTCATAGGCGTGATAACGCCACTCTTCCAGCTCCAACATCTGCATTTTTCGCTCATCACCTGCAACACTATCCAAGTTTAGCAGCTTAAGGGCCCAGAAGGCCTTGTGCTCTAGCTCCATGGGCAAATGGCATGCCTTTCCATAGACAAGCCGGTACGGTGAGGTACCAATGGGCGTCTTGTAGGCAGTGCGATATGCCCACAGAGCATCATCGAGCTTGGTGGACCAATCTTTGCGGGAAAGGTTCACCGTCTTCTCCAAGATCCGTTTGAGCTCCCGGTTCGTCAGCTCGGCCTGGCCACTGGTTTGAGGATGATAGGCCACGGACACCTTATGAGTCACACCATAGCGAGACAACAATTTATCGAACTGACCCTGGAAATGGGTGCCACGGTCGCTTATGATGGCTCTAGGTGTCCCGAACCGGGAGAATAGCTGCTTCAAAAAAACACAAACACGTCTAGCATCATTAGTGGGCAAAGCTTGCGCCTCAGCCCACCTAGAGACGTAGTCAACAGCAACAAGGATATATGTATTGCCAAAGGATGGAGGGAAGGGGCCCATGAAGTCGATACCCCAGACATCAAAAATCTCACAAGTAATAAACACATTCTGGGGCATCTCATCACGGGCAGAGATGTTACTTGACCTCTGGCATCGGTCGCACCGGCGTGCGAAGGCGTCTGCGTCCTTGAAGAGCGTGGGCCAGTAGAAGCCCGACTGGAGCACCTTCCTCGCCGTGCGGTTTCCTCCGTGGTGACCGCCAGCAGGTCCTTCATGACAGTGAGATAGAATGCCCTCCATCTCACTCTCCATAACACATCGACGGATGATCCCGTCAGCTCCGATCCTGAAGAGATGGGGGTCATCCCAGAAGTAGTGCTTCAGGTCGGAGAAGAACTTCCTCTTGGCGTGAGTGGTCATCCCCTTGGGAAGCTGCTGGCCCACAAGGTAATTCGCAAAATCAGAATACCAGGGGGTGACACTCTCCACCAGGCACATCATCATCAGCCTCTCATCTGGAAAGGAGTCATTGATCTCCTCCTCGAGGTTGTCCGCAGGGGGTGCGTCCAACCGGGAGAGGTGATCGGCAGCAACATTCTCTGCTCCCTTCTTGTCCCGAATCTCAATATCAAACTCTTGCAGCAGTAAGATCCATCGTATGAGCCTAGGCTTGGCATCAGCCTTGCTCATCAAGTATCGAATCGCGGAGTGATTAGTATACACAATCACATGGGACAAGACCAGATAAGGACGAAATTTGTCGAAGGCAAACACCACCGCGAGCAGCTCTTTCTCCGTGGTGGTGTAGTTCTCCTGGGCATCATTCAAGGTCTTCGAGGCGTAGTAGATAGGTCGGAAATGCTGATCACGCCTCTGCCCCAACACAGCTCCAACAGCAAAGTCACTGGCATCGCACATAATCTCAAATGGTAAGGACCAGTCAGGAACAACCATGATAGGAGCTTGTGTGAGCTTCTCCTTCAAGGTCATAAAAGCCGCTGTGCATGCATCAGTGAACTGGAAGGGGGCATCCTTCTCTAGAAGCTTCGTCAGAGGCAGAGCAATCTTGGGGAAATCCTTGATGAGCCGCCTGTAGAAACCTGCATGACCAAGAAAACTCCGGATCCCCTTCACAGATGTAGGAGGAGGTAGTTTGCTGATAGTCTCGATCTTCGCTCTGTCCACCTCAATCCCCATCTTGGAGATCTTATGCCCAAGAACTATGCCTTCTATGACAGTTATACTGCGGAAGGTTCTTAAACAGCCTGAAGTCTCGACTAAAGGTCTTCAGACCCTCTCAATCTGACTCTCTGCAGTCAAGTATCGAATCGCGGAGTGATTAGTATACACAATCACATGGGACAAGACCAGATAAGGACGAAATTTGTCGAAGGCAAACACCACCGCGAGCAGCTCTTTCTCCGTGGTGGTGTAGTTCTCCTGGGCATCATTCAAGGTCTTCGAGGCGTAGTAGATAGGTCGGAAATGCTGATCACGCCTCTGCCCCAACACAGCTCCAACAGCAAAGTCACTGGCATCGCACATAATCTCAAATGGTAAGGACCAGTCAGGAACAACCATGATAGGAGCTTGTGTGAGCTTCTCCTTCAAGGTCATAAAAGCCGCTGTGCATGCATCAGTGAACTGGAAGGGGGCATCCTTCTCTAGAAGCTTCGTCAGAGGCAGAGCAATCTTGGAGAAATCCTTGATGAACCGCCTGTAGAAACCTGCATGACCAAGAAAACTCCGGATCCCCTTCACAGATGTAGGAGGAGGTAGTTTGCTGATAGTCTCGATCTTCGCTCTGTCCACCTCAATCCCCATCTTGGAGATCTTATGCCCAAGAACTATGCCTTCTATGACAGTTATACTGCGGAAGGTTCTTAAACAGCCTGAAGTCTCGACTAAAGGTCTTCAGACCCTCTCAATCTGACTCTCTAGCGGATCCGGCTTAACTGTAGTCTATGCCCAAGTCCAACTGCTCCTGGGGAGTAGTAGACTCCCTCATAGCCTGGCAGTCTTCTACTAAGTGGCTCGAGCTCTCACACCACTGACACTGAGCAACTGGAGGTGTAGCCATACCTCTGCCCGGAAGAAGACTGTTGGGCTGCTTCAATGTCTGCACCAGTTCAGCTACCTGCTGCTCGAGTCCGGATCTGGACTCCATGGCGTGGACACCACGATCCCTGGAATGTCTGCCTCTGCTGCTCTGCCCCCAAGAATGATCTCTGGCAGCCAATGTATTAATCATCTGATTCAGCTCGGGTGGAGTCTTGGTGAGAATATCACCTCCTGGGCATAAAGACTCAATCACCCTCTGGCTATCTGGCGAAAGGGCACTGTAGAAGTTCCCCACTGTGAATGCATCACTGAAGCCATGATGGGGGCACTGCCAGAAATAGCCCATGTACCGCTCCCAAGCATCACGAAGGGACTCATCTGGCTCTTGGCGGAAGTGAGTGATCTCTCGCTGAATCTCTGTAGTCTTCGATGCCGGATAGTACCTGTGCACGAACTTGTCCGCCAGATCGTCCCAAGAGGTGATGGACAATGGGGGCTGGGTCTCCAACCACCTCTTAGCATTCCCCGCCAGAGAATGGGGGAAAAGATGAAGGCGGATCGCATCATCCGGGACACCATTCAGCTTGAACCCGTTTGTCAGCTGCAGAAAACGGGAAAGATGCACCCTGGCCTCCTCATTCTTCAAGCCATGGAACTGGATCGAGGATGTGATGAGCTAAATCCAGCATGGCTTGATCTCGAAGTTGTTTGCTGGGATCGGCGGGTAGAGGATGACCGGGCGGATGTCAGCAATCCGAGGAGTGTAGTAGTACTCCAAGGTGGGACCCGGCTGCGGTGGATGATGAACTCCATGGTCCTGGGGTATGGGGTTGTTCCCCAGGACCTGATTCACCGGGGGAACCTGCTGTGGATTCCCCTGGTGTTGGTTGTAGTCTCCGTCCATCCCGTGCTCTTCTTCAGAATCGCTGCTCAGGTGGCCGTCTATGCGCTCTTCCGTAGCCAGTCTAGCTCGCTGTTGTCTCCTGAGCTGGCGACAGGTGCGGTCAATCTCTGGATTCAACGGCAGTAAACCTCCCGACTGGCTACGGGTCATGCACTACCTGCACACACTCAAACAACAAACCCGTGAAGGCACAAGTGGGACAAAGAAAACAAAGCAAAAAGAAAAGCTAAATTAACAGAAATCACTTTTCTTCAACAACCTAGCCGTCCCCGGCAACGGCGCCAAAAACTTGACTCGACTATACTGTCACTCCAGGAATTGGCCAAGTGTAACCACTTCCTAAAGCGTAGTATAGCGGGTTTAGGTTTAATTATCAACCCGGGTCCTAGATTTGCTGACTACTCAGTGAGTTCTTGTTATCTAGCAATAAAACTGGAGTGCAAGTCTAAACTACCAAACAAACAAAGCAAGTAAACTGGTTGTATTCAGGTTAAGAGAGGTCACCCGGATATGGTTCCCCCTAGACTGCAGTTAAGCCGGATTGTAATTACCAAGTTCAGTTTCTATGACAGTTATACTGCGGAAGGTTCTTAAACAGCCTGAAGTCTCGACTAAAGGTCTTCAGACCCTCTCAATCTGACTCTCTAGTGGGCGACTAACCTCCACCGGAGTCGACAGATTGAGGCCCTAAGAACAAAACCTCCACTACCGGAGTAAATCCGGTACAGAATAGTGAGTTGGTTCCTCGACTAAAGTCACCAACTCCCTACCTTCAATCAAGGATACTCTATTAACCTAGGCAGATATTCTCATTCTAGGTTAAAGCAGAAACAACAGGAATTTGATCAGGATTCAAGTCATTCAATCATTAAAACCTCAATCGAATATAATCAATCACAGAATCAGTACTTGGGTTCATACAATCAAAGCCTAACATACAAATCTAGGGTTCTCCATACCCAGATGAATGGGAGAACTACTCCATAGAGAAGAAAGCAAAAGCAGAATCAGACACGGAATTCATACTGCGAAGGATGGATTCCTGCTTCTGGACGTTGATTGGCACTTCTCCAAGCTTAAGCTGGCCTCCAATGGTGTTGAAGATCAATCTAGGGCACTTGGGAACTCTTGCTCGTCACTTTCTCTCTCTAGGAACTGATCTCTCTCTCAAAAACTCGAATCCCCCCGACTTTGGTTCGGAATTTGGCTTAAAACCAGGAAATCCCGACTCGCACGGCCAGGGTGCACGGTCGTGCATATCACCATTCTGGCCGTGCAACTCAAAACGCAGCGTGTCATTTAGTCGAACTTCAGCCCTCTCGCACGGCCAGGGTGCACGGCCGTGCGAGCTTCAGGGGTTGCCCGTGCGTGTCCTCGGCATAAGGCGCACGGCCAAATTGCTCACGTGCACGGCCGTGCAGCCTCCCTGGTCTGCCCGTGCAGCTCCCCAAAAACCTCGCCATTCGTCCGTTCTTCGTCCAATCGACCCCAGACTCGCTCCTAAGCCTTCATTCACGTACTAGGACCTGAAACATCACAAACAAGCACAACCTAGCGTGAAATCGGCCTAAAACACGAGAAATCACATCTCAAACGGTGTAAGAACAGGGGTAAAAACATGTGTAATTAACGGTCTATCAGAAAACAACCAATTTCTTACCAATATTTTGATTTGGTCACAATACATGATCATTTTGTAACGAAATGCAAATTGGTCACAAAATAAATATCTTTGCAACCAAAGTGATTGGTTATAACAACTCACCTGTGATTATAAACATAGCTGGCCAGCGAGCATCGTGTGGTGAGTGGAGACAGAATCTATAAAATTTATGAAGCAGATTCATGGGCTACTTTTGCAGGGATTCAAAATTGGAGGCTTCTGAGAGCTTCACGGCGGGGCATTATTGTCATTTCATTCTCCAAGCCGCTTAATGAAGTGCTCCATTTTGGGCTGCCATTAATTGGCTGGCTAATTGCGGTTTTGGTTACAAGTTAATTGGTGGGTTGATTAACAAATTTGGGCTTCCTGGCCGATTAATGAAGCGAATTGGGCTAATAACATAGTAGGTAGATTCTAATTGCTGGACTTGGCCCATAATTGCGTTGCTTACGTAGAATTGGAAAAGGTTAATTTTGTATCAGGTTTTTGGAATAAGGAACGAGGCTAATAGCGTATCAGGTTTTTGGTTTTACAGTATCCGTCCTCAGGTGGTCGTCGTCGTCCCTGCGTGCCTTATGTAGAATTGGCAAAGGCAAGAACAGTGTCAGGTTTTTGGAATATATGAAGTTAGTGTTGAGGCTTTTGGAATATATGAGGTCAGTGTTGAGGCTAATACCGTATCAGGTTTTTGTTTTTCCAGTATCCGTCGTTGTCGTCGTCCGGTTGTCTCTATTGGTGTGAAGTGGTGTCTAGGATGGTTTGTATTGAAGATGCTTCTGGTTCTTCTTCAGCAATAAATCGACTTTAGCAAGATGCTCGACTTCAGCAGGATGCTCCTGATCCTTCCTCGACAATAAAACGACATCAACAGAATAGGGGTCAATGTTAGTATCGACATGATGACATATATGAATTTTATTCTTTGTATGCTGTTTGGAGGGGAGGAAGTTATATCTTGGTAGTCACAATCGTTTAATTTGCAGGGTTGAGGATGGCTATTTGCAGGCCACCTAAACATCCTCCACAACAACAAATTGTGACTGAAAGAGCCCGTCTTAATCAACGTAATTATCGATTATTTGTGTTTTCTACTACTTCTAAAAATATCGTTGTGGTGTATGTTATTTGTTATAGCATACAATGTTTTCCTTCGCAGGGATTGATAGGTTAAATGTCCAACTTCGGCAAATGGATCTACAGTTGGCTCAATTCCATTGCAAGCAACGTGGTATAATTACGAATAGGCGTTTGGGACGTGCAGTTCAACGTCGTGTACCTCTAAATATTGGTAGTTATCAATTTTATAAAAGTTGTCATTGTCATTATTTGATTATGATTTGATGATGATGAATGACATAGTTTCTCTTTTCTCAGACTACACTTCGTGTTTGTTACGTTTGCGGTCAAAACGAGCACGTGTGCTACGTTCTATTTGTTTATTGAGAATACGGTTGGTTAATGCTATACCTAGGGGATTTACGCGTAATCATGGTTGGTTTGCATTATGTAACATATTTCCCTCTTCCATTTTTATTTTCTATTTATTTCAATAGTCTTATGTGAGATTTTGTGTGTAGGTCTTCCTTCTGTTGAAGTTTTCAGTCTTTTTGAACCTTCGTGCCTTTGTCAATATTGTAATGCAGTGGTGTGGGTCCAAGAAAGCACGTTACATTCTAGGAGTCATGCTAATCCGGTTTTTCCATTATGTTGCAAACGAGGTAGGGTGAAATTGCCTCCTAGGCGAGATCCACCTGGATTTTTGAATGATCTCTTGGAATCTTCAACTCCTATGAGTCGGCACTTTAGGGAGTCAATCCGTATTTACAATGCTATATTTAGCTTCATTTCCCTTGGCGGTAAAGTGGATCGTAGTATAAATGATGGTGGTGGTGTATATGTCTACTCTATAAGTGGTCAAATATATCACAGTATAGGCAACTTACTTCCGGTTGAAGGTCAACCACCCAGATTTGCACAATTATATATTCATGAATCTACCTCCGAGCTTCAGAATCGACTCCAATTATTTCCAAGTGAAGATCATTCAAATATGTTGCAACCTGAGATTGTTAGAGATTTGCAAGAAATGTTTGACAGGAACAATGTTTTGGTTCAAACCTTTCGCATGGCTCGGGAAAAAATATATGAAGCTACTGTTGACGAGTTGAAGATCAAATTATTTGCCAAACGTGCATAAGATGGTAGAGAATATGATTTACCAACGGGAAATGATGTTGCAGCTTTGATAGTGGATGAAACAGGTCATGATACATTTGAGCTAGACATTATTGTTCAATATAAGAGCTCCGAATTAGAGAGAATTAATTATGGACATCCATCCTTAATGGCATTACAATATCCTATTCTCTTTCCTTATGGTGAGGATGGTTGGCATCCTGATATACCCTGTGTTGATGAGGATGATGAAGAAGAAGATCTCTGGAATAACAATACTTTGTCCCAGTGTGATTACTATGCATATCGTATTCAGACCAGATTTGATCAATCAAATGCATTGTTATTAACCGGGAAATTATTTCAATAGTATGTGGTGAATGCTTATGCATTGGTTGAAGCTGAACGTCTTGATTGGATTCGAAATAACCAATCTAAATTGCGTGCTCATTATGTGAGTGGTTTGCTGGATGCATTTTTACATGATGACACTGATCTAGATTCGACTTGCAAGCATGTTATTCTTGCAGCTTCTCATACAGGCAGTCCACAATACAAGTATGAGAATTTTCAGGATGCTGTGGCAATTTGTAGGTGGTTGGGATACCCTGATTTGTTTATTACATTTACCTGTAATGCAAATTAGCCTGAAATCCAATTTATGGTGGATTTGGGTAACTCGGATGGCCGGAAAGATGTCAATCGATCTGATATCATTGCTAGACTATTCAAGCTTAAATTGCATAAGTTGATGTCTGAGATTAGAGATAAGAAAATATTTGTTGTGCTTTATCAAAAAAAAAATATTAAATAAATTGTTCTAACTACCACAACCCACTCTCCTCATCCCTCCCGGACACTAATCCCACACCCCACATAACCCATTTTTATATTTCCCCTTTTAATTGTAATGCATGCCATTTTCATTTAAGATTATCCCACGCCCAGGTTATTTGAGTGTCGAAGATCGACAATAGTTTTGTTACTTTCCCAACTTCCACTCACGGGTTTTGGAGTTCAGAATAATTGACTGATGAAGGTGAATTAAAGTTGAATGCAAGACATGGTGTACCATTCTTTACGTGAGTTGCAGGTTTCCCACGGGCAACAATGGTCTGTTCGAGTGAGAATTTTGCGTTTATGGAGGACTTTGTTAGCTGATATAGATGAAACTCTCTTCCTACACATGTTGTTGCTATATAGTGAGGTTAGTACGTCCATATATTTATGTTGCTTTGATATTGAATTCCTTCTTACGTTTCATGCTGTGTATCATTTACCCAATACAAGCTTCTAACCTTTAAAGTTTTTGACTTAAAAACGACTTGCATGGAGCAGAAATGGAGGCTGTTATTCACCGCCTTGAAATCCCTACATTCTTACCAGCCATACAACAATGAGGAATCTACAGGATTGAAAACTTTGATGTTGATTCGTATGAAGTTTCTTTTCGGGTTGCAATGTCAACTAGGCGAATCTCTTTTCATCCTAACACTGGTGTACATCGATTGCCAAATGTTGCAGACATATCATTATTCAGCTTTCGGTTCCTAGGTCCTGCTGATTTTTTTGATGCTGTTCAAAATGAGGGTTTTGTGTAGATCAATTCTATTTTATAGCCGCATTTGCAAGTAATGTCTACTTGAATTTGCACTATTCACAACTTCATATTTTGTTGAATCAGTAAGTTAATTTCTTTATATCTAGAGTTGAATTCTATTCAATTTGGTTAGGGTAACTCAATTTGTATATATTTATAATTGCATCTTCTTCAATTGGGATCTAAATTCAACTAACATGTTTATCAGATCTAGCAACCTGCTCATTAGTCAACATGATTATATTGACTATTCATTGGAGGCAGCAATGGAAGTGAGTGAAACAAGTTCTGTTCGTGAAATTCTCTTTCTATCGACTAATGTGCACAATATGGTAATTTAATACAATGATGTCTGTGTACTTTTTGATTACTTTAGCATTTATTTCTATTATCTAAGGAAACTATTTTTACACACAGGGAAAGAAATTTGTTATCGAGGCAACAGTTGAAGCTGCCGATGTATTCTGGATACCTACTTTTCAGAAGTACATGGTTGAATTGACACTGAAAGATGGATCTATGAAGGTCAATGTTGTATTCCTGTTATTCGACTTAAAGAAAATATGCAGCCAACTCTTTCCGAACCCAAGAATCGATTGAACTACTACCTTTGAAGCCAACCTAAGATCTATTACTCACAGATCTCTCATTCTCATTATTGAAGTTGGACGTGTTAATGAGCTCACAAATCAGTGTCTTTTAGTGGTTAGTAAGTTCTTTGGGTAGTGTTCTTCCCCATATATCATTTGGTGGATGTTCTAAACTTAGTTGCACATTTCAAACTATGTTTCTAATTTGGTACTCTATTAAATAAGTTCTTTTGATGTTTATTACCTTTTGGTACTATGTTTTATTAGTATAGGCATTTGTGAAGTGTCAAATGATGGCATTTTCAATGTTGAAATTCCATTTGCTGATTTTATTGCTCATTAGCTCCTATAATGAAATGAAGGAATTTGGGATTAGAAAGCATTAATAGTAGTAGTGATGTGTGTTTCATACATGGTTAACTCAATGGCCATACGATGAATTTAATTTTGTTGGTGTATAGAGTAATCAAGTCACATCTACTAATAATAATTTCTTTAATGTACTAATTTCATCTTTCGTATAATGCATAATAGGATCAATGTTTTTCCCAAGATATAAAATTTAAATTATTGCAAGACGGAGAAACCGAACTTAGTAATTGAATTGATAGCTTGACAAGATTCTGGCAATTGAATGTATGCAATTGATCTCATTTTTTACATGCCGAATCTTATTTGGTTGACCTACTAATGTGAGAAGTGTCAAATACAAGTTGATAGGCATATGGATGCCCCAATCGGAAGTAAAAAGGGAAAATATGATAATGTTTGAACTTATTATACTTTATATTTTGGTTCGGGCACTTCTTCGCCACCATCACTACTGTTGAGAAAGCGATGATTTGGAAATTTTCCAACATTAGTACTCTATCGGTAGCACAGCTTTACTTGGCCCTTAAGGGTTTCATGATTCCAATTATAAGAAATTTATTTGATTGTTCGTGCTTTTAGAAGCCCAATCATTTATTTGCTCAATCAATAAGTACGAATCCATTAAGAGATATTTGTCCATCTAATAACAAAGCTAAATATCAACAACAAGGTATTTTTTTCAAATTTTACATCAAGCACCCCTAAAACGGATATTAGACTTACGAAAGAACTTATCGTTCACATATTCAGTACGCTTACAAAACATGAGAAGTAACATAGGGGTGTACCATTAATAACATTAATCTGATCATATTGACAATACCTACATGCTATTCAGTTATCTAACGGCAAGAACTGCTTCACCAAGAACATATCAAAATAATTCCCCACGTCGTTCCAAGGACCGATTGTGACCATGGCCTCATATGATTTTTCACCAATCAAGATGAGAAGTGTAACATAATCGGCATTGTCAATCTCTGAAGGGTTGACTACAGAAATGATCCTCCGTAAGTATGATGATGGGAAAACGACCTCAACATCAGTTATATCATCTTCAGTGGTCAAGTGAATAAAAAAAACACCGGATGCATCACACCAAGATCTCCTCAACTCTATTACACGACCTGAGAAAATGTATGAAGTGCCCTGATATAATTGAAAAGATAGGGTTTTGCAAAAGTAAACAAATAAGATGCAAATCAATAACATAAGGAATGGAGAAGGATAAATAACAAACATATTATCTTAGTCACCTTATTGTCATCATCCAATTGCTTTGGGATAAGATCTATGGTTTCAAAAGTCTCAGACATAGCTATGACATTTTGATAATTCAG